TCACTATGCCTATAGGAATAGGTGAACCTATGGGCTGCTCCTTTAGCATAAACGAGAGGTTTTCTTTCAGCTGCTTGATGCTCAGGTTGCTGGAAAGTGATTTTAAAAGACAGGGCTAGCACTTGGTCTCTGGTCAAGTAAACAATTCCTTTTCTATGAGGTCAGGAAAAAAACAGGCCTCTGATTTCAATAGTAGTCTAAAACTATTCTGGTATATATAAGAAAAATATTGTAAGTTCTTGGAGAAAAATATTCTCTCACCACTGCGATGCTTTCAATAGGATTGAAAATAAGGTTGAAGTGGAAGAAGCAGATTTCTGTCATGTAACTCAGATTATTTACCCTTACAGATACGTGCAGCACTTACAATTGAAACTGAGAAAACTGAGATGATGGGCTTGGTTTTTTTTTTTTTTTTTTTTTTTTTTTTTTTTGCGTGGTGTGCATTTTCCTTAGAGAGATTTGTTGTCCTTCAAGCCCATCAATGTTACTTCTGTAGAGGTATGTGTGGTGAGATGCCAGCAATTATCTACGCAGTACCAAAGCTCTTAGGCTTGCCAGTCATTATATTTATTTTTGTAGTGCTTATTCTATGTCCAAAGGATTGCTTAAAAGAAGAAAAAAAAAGATGATTTAATTTTGCATTGGAAACAACAGTGAGTTTGCTTTCCTTGGCAGTATTTCAAGAAAGATAAACTACTTAGAAAAAGAACTCTGTGCTAATCCACTGGTTTAGGTCTTCTTCACAAAACCAAATGTTTCACTCAGATGCATTTTCAATTGTGCTTTGTAAAAAAAAACCAAACCAACAATTATTTTATTTGGCTCTTTGAGGGTTATGAATCAGTCCTTTGCATTTCTTTTCACCAACAACAAGACATCACAAAACAGCTTTTAATCATCTCTGCAATGATAACATTTTGCAGGTTATTTGTGCAGCTGTTTCTCTAGTCAAATTTATTTGCAGTTAAAACACAGCATTTAAATTCAGGGTGCTTCAAGGGTTTCATTAGATGTAGTTGTTTTGAAGCAGGTTGAGGAGTTCCTTTTCTTCCAGTTCAGTCATAGCCTGTCATTACAAAAATGCCTGGCCACAAAGACTTTTCTGAGTCTCTGTGAAATTTTTCCAGGTTTCCGGAGTGCTCACACCATGCTGGAGTGAGGAGCAACAGCATGATCATGGAATATATGACTTGAAGCCAAGAAGTCTAAATATGCTGTATAAATGTAAATATGTATTATCGGAATAGGATAGCACTTTTTTCATTAGAAAGCCTTATAATGAGGCACTGGTGCTGTAGATACTTGAAGTAAGCAATGATCAAGCTGCTGTGAAGCAAGTCCACTGAGACACCTTTCTAAATGAATAAGAAACACTTATTAATCTAACTTCTACCACTCCATAGTGAAATATTAACTCAAAAGACATTTTGCTGAATATTCATTTAATGGCCAGACTGGAGTCTGTGAAGAAAAAAAAAAATTTAATTTTCAGTACAATGCCATATACACACTGTAAAGTGAATGTTGAATGTGCAGGCATACGAGATCATCTCTGTAACTAACTTTGCTTTTTGCACTGAGAGAGAGCTATTCTATATTTGAGTGGCTTCAGATACAGTCATTTGAATCAACTGCTTTTTTAAATAGAATATGCACTCCTGAATGTGAATGGACAAGTATGCTTTTCATGGTGAATTTTTCCAGTGTGATATCCTAGGTCATATTTTAAAAGTCTTGCTGCAAATGGCAACGTTAACTGATAAAGATGGATTGTTTTGTTTTTGCCAAGTGAGAACAATGATTAATTTGGCTGTAATTTAATCAATTCTCTGTTAATGTTTACTTGTCGACTTTTATTAGTCATGTTTTAATTTTAATGTTATCAGTGGTAATTTTCTGATTTCCAAGCTCTTTTCAATAGTTAGCAAATAACTGACCAAACCTGATTCTTCACCACCTTGCAGATTGCATTGCAATTTACATCAGTAAGAAATCAGTGTGCAGTGTTGTCATTTTAATCTGGAACATTTTACAAATGCTTTCCTTATGATGTGATGGAACGAATGGCTTTACAAGGCACCAGACAGGGCTCATTCCCATTTGGGCGTTTCAGCCATGAGAAAACTTTATCCCTCCTCATTGTAGCTGTCCTAGGTGGTTCTCAGTAACGAGAGATACTAGAAATTTTTAGCAATAGATGATAACTGTGCTTTTGGTATGGTCACTACAGAGACCTTTCCTTCCACATAAGAAAGAAACAGGAAGTGGAATCTGTCTAAGTGATCTTCTGTGTATGTAGAGAATTAGGTCAAGATATTTGGGAATGTGACATACTTGCAAAGTGCAATGGATTGCATGGCTGCAGACAATGAATCTAAGTGTTGTATGTGTTTGTGCATATGCTCTCCTTGCTCAGATCAAATTTCTAGAGCTGGAGATGAGAAGGAATTTATAAGGAATTTGTTAGTGTATGCAGTGGATTGGATAACCTAGTAATGCAGCCAGCTCTTACATCATGGGTGGAGAAGAGAAAGACATTTACTTAGAAATGCTCAAATGATAAACAGTATTTTAGAGATCAAGCAAGAAGAATCTGAGTAGCCCAAGGGAGCTAACTCCTCCAGTTTTGCTGTGGTCGGCATCAGAGAATACCTTCCCAGTAAACATCTCCATCACATCCAGAATCAAAATTTCCAGTCTGAAAAAACAAGGGAGGAGTTTTGTACAGAGTATGATATCTAATGCAGACACATGTACATCATACAAAAATTAAGAGTCTTAAGGCACCTGTCTTATAACAGAGACCCCAACGACAACAAAAGTGTAAGGACTCATAAATCCTTGTTTCTTACAGGGGTTAAAACACAGTAGTGAAGTGAGCTAATAAGCTTCAGAAGTTGGGGGGTTTAGAGGGTTTTTTTTTTTTTTCTTAAAAAACAAAACAAAACATATTTATAAAATTCGTTTGGCTATTCATCAGTCAGTTCTCATGTAAGCAGTTTGGGTGAGATTTAAGCATTTGCAGTACAGCGCTATTCACAACTTATTCCTGTGTGATCTTGCTGTCAATTAATAAGCTGGTCTTTTAAAGAGTTACTAATGTGCAGAATAGTGAGAACATCTTTGTGCAAAAGATAGGCAAAAAAAGGATTCTCAAGGAATATAAAGTTTAACTTGTGATTTTCAATATGATGTAAGATTTTTCAGCATACTGCCAAATAAATCCCACCTAGGGGAATAGGATCTGCCGTACAAAACAGTTTGTTTTCAGACTATATTGTGACAGTGTTCAGCGGTGTGCCAGATAAAACCACACAAGCTTAAGTAAAAGCGATATAGCAAAAAAAAAATAAAAATCAATTGTACACCAGATAGTCATTTGAATAATGTTCAAATATTTTTTCCTCCCATAGTGCTGGTTATTAACTATCAACAGGACTTAATCTTTGCTTTGCCTATTACAGGTTTTGTGATAAATTTTGGAGAAAAATCACTCTATTTTGTTCAGGAGTTACTCTGCAGAGCACTGGAATGATTTTCATCATGATCAGGAAGTGTAAATAACTTGTGCTATAATATCTGAAAAGATACATTGTCCATATAGAACTAAGAAGGCGGAAATATCTTTAATTTTATTTTCAATTAAACACAGGATTTGCTTTTCTGTCCCAAGATTTCTGACTGGTTTATCTTGGAGAGATTGCTTGTGGAAGAACTTTTTCATGTGTTTATTTTTGTTCTCCACGAATTAGTAACTGTTCAACATTACTGTACTCTCATTGTGCTCTTTTCTATATGTTGTTTGTGTTCCTCATCCAAAATTACATCCGCGGGAGGCTTCAAACTCTACTTTAGGGTCCTTTAGCTTTTTGTGGAGAAGGCATAGATTCTTTCATTAGTTTCATGGTGTAACATGTTTTTTTCTTAATTACTTTTGAAGGAAATTGGAACCCACTATGAAATTACAGGAAAAGTTGTTTTGGAAAATCGAGCTCTTATTAGGGAAAGGGTTTGATGATAAATTACAAGCCACAGTCAGAACTGTGCCCTAACTTTCCTTGCAGGGAGGGCAGTGATACAGTGACAGCCACACAGCACCACCTCTGTAAGGAAAATAAAATACTGACCCTAGGACTTTAAAGGCACTGTACTCAATACTCACCTTAATATGCCTCTATATTGCTCTCTCTTTCAGGTTTCAATTTTCAATTGCACTTGTAGTAATTGGAAATTTAATTGCAACAATTTTCTGTACTGACATAAAAAATGAACGTTAGACAATGGGCAACCTTGTCTTATGCCAACCTGTCTATTCATAAAGGGTGCCTACAGTACTTGCAGGGGAATATGGGAAAGATGGAGTGGTACTATTTCTCAGAGAATGTGGTGACAGGACGAGGGATAATATTTTTAATCCAAAGGAGAGTAGATTCCATTTAGATTTTAGGAAGAAACTCTATACTATGAGGCTGGTGAGGCTATTTTTTTCATTTTCATAGTTCTCATCTTTACATAACTTCCACATCTATCTGCTGTTTTCAGCTCCTTGATGTTTAGTTTTCATTTGCCTTCCTTGCTTCTTTATATGTAGAGCCACAGATACGGTAAGATATTGATCCTTCACCACATGTATCCATGAGTACGATGATACAAATGCATGTTGGTTTACTTTCAGTGCAATAAGATACAGCTCATTTTTTTTCCAAGCACTGCTGAAGAATGCAATTCGTTTATGTCATAGAAATAACTTATTAAGAAAGTTTCATGCAGAAGAGTCTTTGCAGGAGTAAATATTACCCAGTTTGGTATTATACTATTCCCCACCCTCCAAGAAGCCTAAGGTTAACAGGAATTATACTATGACCTTGGAAAGGCATGCTTCAAGACTGCAGTTATCTTACCAACATGCTCCATGCTGGTTGCATATATTTATAAAAGACACCAATGAGTCATATGTAAACATTTTGATTATAAAGATTTTCTTCATTTTCCCACAGACTTGCTGCTTTCAAACAGCTGCATCCCATTCCTGGGCTCTACAGAGGGGCTGGATTTTCGAACCCTGCTGCTAGATGAGGAGAGGGGCCGGCTGCTCGTTGGGGCAAAAGACCACATCTTCCTGCTCAACTTGGTTGATTTAAACAAAAATGTAAAAAAGGTCAGTTTATTTTCCTCAGAATTCAATTCACATAGTTTCAATTTTGTTCCTTTTTTTTTTTTTCCTCCTTCTTTCCTTCTTTTACTTCACTGGGTAATCATCAGATTTGCTGTATCATGCTTTGCACCAGCATTTAATAATGTCACCTTTCATAGTTACATGGGTTATCTTTAATGAGTTGATTTTTCTGATAGTATGTAAGCCTCTGTAAGATTGAAATCCTATCAAAGAAGTCTCCTACTTGGAACCAAAATATCAGTACTTCTGAGAGCTTGCTTCTGTCATGTCCCATTTCTTTTGTCACGCTCATCTTCTTCACATAAAAGCATTTTGAAGATGGCAGTTAAAGACAGATCTTTTCTTTCTTCCTGGTGTCACTGGGATTATGATACTCAAATACTGAACAGAGATAAGGCAATTTGAATGTTTTAAATTGTTAAAATTGCCCCTAACATTGCAATAATTTTTACATTAATATCTGGAATTGCTAATGATAGGTAAAACTTCCACTGGATACATTGTATGCGCTGACCCATGCTCTGTGACAGTGTTAATTCCAGATAATAAGAAGACAATTTAGTCCTTGGTATTTGTAGTACACATGATGAAACAGTGATTTTCTAAGCACAAGTAACTACTAAGTATAAGAAACAGATGCTTGCATAGGAACATGCATGAAAACTTCTTTCCTGTTTGTTCCAGGCATTGTCCTTACTAAAGAAAATTCAAATTCTCAGCTGTTTGATATTTTCCTTAAGCACCAGCAGGAGGTTTTAAATGACTGTATTCTGCTGTCAGCTCTGAAGTGAGAACTGACCTTGAATTAATACGATGGCAGCAGAGGGCTTAACAGGTGTAACGGGAGATGATTTTTTTTTTTGCCCCACGTCTGAGTACAACACTTGCCGTCATTATATACAAGGGTTTCTAGTACTCAGCTGAATATCTTATTTCAAATTCTACAGTGATCCACACACTGCTTTCTTTAAAACTCAGATTGTTCCAGATTTCTTCCCTGGGATGCCATATGAGACACCTCATATGCATCTTACATCTCAGTATTTTACTCAAGAATCATCACCTCTTCAGGCCAGTGTGGTGAAAACAGCATCATTTGTGTCGCAGATTTTGATACCATAGATTGATTTTTAGCAAAGGCTTTCAGTAGCAACCATTATTTGTGTGAAAAGCAGAATCCTATTACTGTATGATGCCAGTAGCCTCCTGAGAGATGCTGAGTGCCGTCACTTCCCATTATGCTCAGAGGAGATTGATTACTTCAGAGCTTTCTGGAGGTGTTCGCACCACTCTGCTCAAACTAGTAACATTTTCACCTTAGCCAAACCACCATTGATTATTATGGATGTTGAGCTTTCTTAGAAGTGCAGAATGCAGACTAAGCTATGAGGATTTGTTGGTGGTCAGAGTATCATTTGGTAGAGGTATTGCAGAGCTAAGACTGAATTAAAATTTGCGTTTGGTAAGCTGAACAGATGTGTGCCTGTGTATCTGTGGTAACTTGAAAGCAGGGAATAAAATTCAAAACCAAGAGGATATCTGGAGTAAGGAAAATATTGTGTGAATTCAAATATTTCTCTGTTTAACTCTTCAGGTTGTCTCAAACCTTTCAGACAAAACATTGAGGCAAAGTGTATTTAAATAGCTAAAAGTGACACAAAAGCTTTGCAAAGCACCCTGGTGTGCTCATTTCCAAGGTCTCCACGGGAGTCCAGCGACTTTATGAACGTGCCTACTTGGGCACATGCCTGTGATGTGATGTTGCCGAAACCTTTCTCCTCTGTTCCTCAGTGCTGGGCTGTTTGAAACGTGTGAGGGGAGAGCAAAGATGAGGGAAGTCATTACTGTATAAATCTCAGTCACTGACGAGGTTTCAGCTCTCAAGGATACACTCCAGTAGCAGGGAAGTGTCAGAAAGCAGCGTTTGCCGGCGCTGTGTTTAGACTGACTGTGGTTTGGGTTGGCGCGGGGCCAGGCGGCCGGCTGCCAGGCTCTCCTGGTGCGAGGAAACCACACATGTCGGGGCTGCGAGGGGCTGAAGCGTGCCCTTTGTCCTCTCCTGGAGCAGGAGCTGCTTGACAAGGCAGCCTCTCCAATGACAGTAATTCATTAGAATATTAAGTGTCTTCTGGTTCAGATTACATTAAAAAGAAAAAAAAAAAAAAAAAAAAAAAAAAAGAAAAAAGCTCTCAGTTTTAGGTATTTGTTGCATTAGTAACTATTGATACACCCAAAAGCCAAGTCAGTGTCCCAGACAGTCTACTCTCAGAAAACTCCATCTGTGGACATAACTACTTGGAAAGATTATATTGCAGAATGTGAGGCTCTATATTCATGCTTGTGGGACAGTAATCAAATAAACATCCAAAGCATTGTGTTATGTTCCCCTCTCGAATGTATACGTAGATCATTTAATGACTTCCTTTTTGCAACCTAATTATTTACCTAAATTAGTTAACTTAAATATATTAAGTTAGGGCTTTATTTCCTGGTGTATATATGTATATTTTTCTCCTGATGCAATAAATCAGTTGTTCTTCTGGAGTTCCAATTTCTTGAATCACTGTAGGTTTTATTCAATTTATTGTGTAATTGGTTGAAAACTTCCTTAGCTGGTAGCTTAAAAAAATCCACCCAGTTTCTAATGCCTGCAAACCTTATTATGAAACAGCATTAGCAACTGTAGTATACAGAAAACTGTAGTATAACAGAAAAGTACCACAGAATGAGAAAAATGCAGAAAACTAAAATGGCAGCAATCTACAAATAAATAAGGGGAAAATGTCTTTTTTTTTTTATTTATTGGGGATATAATTTCTATGAACTTGTTCCGAATAGAAGCCAAAGGTCTCTTTTGTAGAAGTATCATTATCTGTGCCATAGTCTTTTCTTGAAAGAACTGAGATGCCTTACAAATATTGCAAGTTTTTTATATAGTGTGAAATAAATCAAAGAAGCTACCTCCTGTGTTTACCAGAACCCAGGAAATGAAGACAACTATGCCATAACTAAAATACGTGTGGTGTAAAACAAATCAAAATAGAATTCTTTACGAGCACAAGAGAATGGAAACCTGGGAAAGAATTTGCTAATAATCCTAAACTCTGGGATACAGTTGAAAATATTATTTTGGTGAATGCAATTTTCATGTGAGTTTGTCTAAAACCTTTGTTATTTTACTCTTTGTTATTTTACTTCTTAATAAAATAAATAAAGAAGAAATACAAAACATAACAAAGTGGGCAAACACATTAACTAGATGCAGAGAAATTCTGCATGTTTCTGTAACTCCCATGCTTGCTACCAGTGCAAGTAGGGTTATATGTCAGCACTATTATCGCTGTGTAATCTGCAGCAAGACCCCACCCATCTCTGCAGGAATAGGAATGCTATCAAGGCCTGACAAGCTTTTGAAAAGCTGCCAACCTGCAGGAGCTGTCAGTGCTAGAAGACTCAGCCACATGTGGGCCAAATAGATAAACATGTCAGTTTTTTTTTTCATCCGTTCCAATGTGTATTGGCACTGGGTCGCAAATTGTCGCTTGGAGCATCCTCGGTTTGTGTTTGTTGTTGGGCTTTTTTTTTTCTTTTCTTTTTCTTTTTGTCATTGCCAGGTGCAGCTGTCTTGCATCTTATCCTTCAATCTTCTTTTCTATTGATTTTATCTGTGTCCAGTTCACAGTAAAGAATAAATATGCATATATGTATATACGTATCAGATGGCTAAACACTTACAAAATATTTGCAAAGCAGTTATTTGCATTTCTACAGCTCTCTGCTTATTAACTGCAAAAATGGGATTGTGTGTCAACACTATTATCACTGTGTGATATCTGCAGTGTGACCCACCTATCTCTGCAATAGGATGGGTATGTATGAAAAAGCGTATGCATATATGTATAAAACAACATCCTCGAGATACCTTCATTGTTCTGGGAAACCTGTCAGTCTATAGAAGTGTCTAAGTTATGAATGAAACCAACGGGAATTTAGCCAGCACTGAATTAAGACTTGGTTGTGCCATCATACAGGAGTCTTGATTAAGTTAAAATCAGCCCAGTGGCAGGGAAGAATGATGGCTATAAATCTGTTTCGGAGAACACTGTTCTTAGTTTTCCCAAGAAAAGAATCAGGAAGATGCTGAAATCTGACAGGGCATGATCTGACTCTTCACGCATAAGGAATTAGTTACCACGACTTAAAGGCATAATTATTGACTTACTTTTGTTTCAGAAATAAGTTTTCTGGGTGTTGCAGTTCATAAGGCACTCATTCTCGCTTGTTAGTTTCCCAGCCTTCCGAAACTCATACAGGAAGAATTTTGCCGATCACTTGCAGTGAAACAAGACTGTTGCTACTGGATATGTGTATAGTTTAGTGTCCTGTCTCTAAAAGCTGTCAGCAATGGCTACAGAAGGAAATGTGTAAGAAAGAGCTATGACAGTGTCTCTCAGGTCAGGGACATCCAGAGATAGAAGTGATGGCTGTGCTTGCTATCCCCTGGACTTTCCCTGTCATTGATCTATATAAATGTTGCTCTGAAGATCTGCAAACCTTTAGAGTCTGTAACATTGTTTAACAGGCTTAAATTTAGGGATCTGTGTGTACAAGGAAGCTTTCAACCAGTGTTTACAAATGCAGAACAACAATCTATGGGCAAAACGTGGAGAAAGCAGTATGTGGCCAGATGGACAGTGATCCTAGGTGGAAGAGAGTGTCTCTGTTATTTCCTTTTGCATTGTTGCTGTGAATTGTGTTTCCATAAACATCCCCTCTTGTTTTTATATTTTACACCTGTATTTTGGCATAAAGAACAGCCAATATCCTGCTCTCTGAAAACCCATACTGGGCTTTGACTTTTTCAGAGGTAGGATTTATCTTTAGTCTGAAGGGATAAACATGGTCAGAAAAAATGCCATTTACACTAAAAGTCCTGTTGTATGGTTTCTTTCTAGGAGAAACAGATGATAGGCTGTGGTTAT